AGTTGGTAACATCATGAAATCCTACCAGTGGCTTAAAGGCTGACTTAAAGGACAGCACAGAGGGTCTGATCATGCCATCATCAGAACCAAGATCCATGGAAGCAGGAGTCTACCACAGCCAAGAAGACCCAAGTTATAGCCTGTGCAAAGGTGCCCTGGAGACTATCCAACAGCATATAGCACGATGTAATGTGCAAGCTGAGATGGTATACACTGAGACGGATAGTGTACAGGAAAATGTGTGAAACATGTGAATTAGAAGTCTTCAACTCCTGATGGGAGATGACACTGAAGGTGGTTGGGGACACCAGCGCTAAGGTACTGTAGGACTTCAAGTTCCAGACAAATAAACAGCTGCTGGTCAACCAAACACACATAGTGATGGTTGACAAGGAACAGAAGACTGCAGCTGTGACAGATGTGGCAATCTCGGTTGAAAGTAACATCAAGAAAAAGGAGCACAAGAAAAGAAAGAAGCACCATGGGCTAAAGGAAAACTGGAACAGACGTGGAAGTCCAAAGTGGTTCTAGTGATAGAATAGAATAAAGGCATTTGGAGCAAACTCCAAGCTGGAAGAGCGGCTCTAACAGATTCTATCAGAGGTCTCTGTCCTGTCTCAGAACTGCTGAGATACAACACAGCCTTCAAACTCTCAGGCTAAGAGGCTTGAGAAAGAGACACATAGCACCCCCTACAGGGGTGACAGGGAGATGCCTTCTCCGTGCTTTATTGGAAAAGACAAATATACATGCTCTAAATTTTCGGTGGGGGATGTCCACTGTGTGTCCCTTTACCTGTAGATGGTATTATAGTTTCCATTAAAAGTGATGTGAATCTGTTGGTATATGTGCACTCATTTGCCACTTCTCACCCTTTGCTCCTGTTGTTAGAATGGATGCTATCCATTATAAGAAGAAGGCTTAATATCTTGAGTAGGGGGTGTTAAAATCTGAACCTTTCTGAATTTAGAGTCACAGTGAACATTTGAAGACAACAAAGTGTGGTTTAAATGCGGGTATGCTAAGTGCATACTCATCACACGACTACCACGTCTCAGTGTGATGAAGGTCTGAAAATTCCAATGAGTAACAGGAAAACCCAACTCACATCTCAGGGTTTCTAACCATGAAGGATTCCTTATTTAAATATACTCAGTTTAAAACGATTTTATATTAAGTTTAAAATATTAATGATAAATAATAAATCATGTAATCACATATAAATAATTTATTTGTCAAATGGGAGTCTGGGAGTTAAAAGAGAAAAAAAAAGTGACAAAACTGACTCACCTTTTGTATCAGTGATTGATTTTTATAACCCAACAGGTGTTTTAGATTTTACACAATAGTTCTGCTGTCATTTTTTACTTTTACTGGTAATCTATATGTGTCTAAATATGTGATGAGGCTATAGTGTTTATTATTAATATGATACTAGTGGTGCTTTAGTGGTGTTTCTAAAATTGTCTCCTTCATGTTAATAAAGTGCACAAATATCTATAACATCTTTGAATATAATGCATTTAAGTAAATTGTCTACAGTGACCTAAAGAATTATGAAAGTAACCGATTATCGCATTTTTGACCGTGGCAACAGAAACTATGTAGACTAGCTTTGAGATTATGGCACAGTCTTATGTTTGGATCATGTTTCACAGATGCTACCATTGACTAATGGTTCTATCTTAAATATGATCAATCTTTCGCTCTCCGTGTATTTATACACCACAACAGAGTAGTGTATAAATTCAATAACCAGTAACTGGATTTAATCAACAGTAACAAATTTGAAACTTCGTCTCTCTCCCACGTATCTCCCTCTGCTCTCTTCTCTTTCCACTCATTAAACTGAATTGAATATATGTTTCTAACTTAGTGAGGATATGCGATATATGACTTTTTTTTTCAAACAATAAAAAGAACAATCCAGAATTTTTTTACAGGCACGTGCTAACATGATGCACAAACACCGGTGTGGACGTGCCGCTGTGCGCATCTTCCTGCCTCCCCTCCTCCATTGAACGCAGCACGCCTTCTGATTGGTGGAAACTAGCAGGAAGAGAGGAAGAGGACTCAAATCTTGAGAGCTGTCAAACTGGGCTACTCGCTAACCTTCCATCACACGAGCTCACATTTAGCAATCACCCGCCTGTTGCTTTGTAGGAACGTTTGGGGTTTCGGTGAAGCCCGGCTAAATCTGAGACCGTTGCTTCTGCTGCCTTTTAGGAGGAGTCACTTTCCCCGAAGTTCCCGGAAATACAGCGTAGAGGACATTGGTGTGAGGATGGCTGCCTACAAGATTGTCCTGATCCGCCATGGAGAGAGCTGCTGGAATCAGGAGAACCGCTTCTGCGGCTGGTTCGACGCGGACCTGAGCGAGACCGGGGAGCAGGAGGCAAAGAGGGGAGGACAGGCCTTGAAAGGTACGGTATCAGAAAATGTCAAGGCCTAATCGGGCTTTCTCTCGGTCACTGGATTAAGCCACAGCAAGCCGGTGCTTACGCAACTTTGTTGAATGGGGAAACCGGTGGTAGGCCCAGTGCGGCAGAAGGGATGGAGTCATTTCACGGGTTGTCCCGCAGTCTGCTGGGCCACACGGTCACTGCTTCAAATTAAATGCTACTGGAGTTTTTTTCCATTAGCTTCTCTCCCACCGGGGCAGACGGTTTGGCGCCTCCTGGTGCAGCAACATAGCCTCTAATTTTCATTCAAAGAAAGCAATTCTTATTTGTGGTGTTCTTTAACCACAGAAGTATTTTGGAGAGTCATAATATAATTAATTTAGTCTTTGACGATCTTAAGTGTATTTGTATTTATCAAAAAAAATAATAATAATAAAAATCCATAGCTTTTAGAAATGAGCATATGAATTAAAACTGGAGCATATAACCAGGCCAAAGATGCTTTTGTTTCCAGAGGGCAGAATATTACTGTTTGCTGAGTCATCATGCTGGATTCACTCACACACACACACACACACACACACACACACACACACACACACACACACTCCTGCTGTTTTTTTTATGACCTAAAAATCCCAAACAGGCACATCTTGCAGTGTTAAGTCTGCCAGTGCCTTGCGGCCCCTGACCAAGAAAAATCACATGCAACTGATAAAAGAAGGGCAATAAAACATGAAGGTATCTATTATTTGATCCTGTGAACGGTAGCTGCAGTAGTATTCCTTCATGAAAAATATGACAAACTGTTTTGAAATACATGTCTCAAAATGTCATCTCTATTTCCCCTCAGATGCTGGCTATGAGTTTGACATTTGCTACACATCTGTCCTAAAGAGGGCCATCCGCACTCTGTGGTTTGTCCTGGATAGCATCGACCAGATGTGGCTGCCCGTCCACCGGACCTGGCGCCTCAACGAGCGTCACTATGGTGGTCTGACTGGGCTGAATAAGGCTGAAACGGCAGCCAAACACGGGGAAGCCCAGGTCAAGATCTGGAGGCGTTCTTTTGACATTCCTCCCCCACCTATGGATGAGGGACATGACTATTATCAGACCATAAGCAAGGTAACCGCTCGGGGAAATTATGACAAGTTGACTCTTTTCGTTATTGCATCAATGTAACCCTGCGTTGCTGAAACTATTTTGACAACACCGACTTCTTCTTTTTCCCTGTAGGACCGACGTTATGCTGACCTGACAGAGGACCAGCTCCCTAGCTGTGAGAGTCTTAAGGACACCATTGCTCGGGCACTTCCTTTCTGGAACGAGGAGATCGTGCCACAGATCAAAGAAGGAAAGAGGGTGCTGATTGCTGCCCATGGCAACAGTCTCCGTGGCATTGTCAAGCACCTGGAGGGTAAGGAGTAGAGGAGAAACTTGTGAAACATTTCTCAGCACTAAAAACACCTTTCAGTGTTATTTCACTTACTATGAGTGAACAATGAATTGGGTTACCTGCTAAACCTTCATAAAGGCCAATATTTGATCCATCCATTTGGGTTTTAGGGAAGTCAGAAATTAACTTATAGACAAGAGTGTAGAGTTATTAGCTGTTGCAGTGGGTTAACTAGCAGATTGTTATTGGTCTAGGTGGCCACATTCCTAATAGTGCAAACACCCAAGTTTATGACTGTGATAACTTGAGAGTTACAGTGTTGTTTTTTGAAATTCTACCATAGAGGCATCTACTAAAAATCTCAGGCAAGTTCGAGTCCTGGTGACCTTGACCTCAAGGTCAGAGGTCAGAGGACCTTGACCTCAAGGTCAGAGGTCACCAGGAGCAGCACCATAGGAGCAGCTATTAAATTTTTTTGAGTTTGAATCTGTGACCTTGAACTCAAAGTCAAGGTCATAGGTCACATTTTCTGAAAATCTTGTAAATGCAATAACTCAAGAAGGAAGTCACCTAAGATTTTCAAATTGATCTAGTTGCAGGCTGAGGGATAGGCAGTATTTTGTGTTCCAAGCAGGTTTATTTTAGTTCTTAAGTTGTGAATTTTAATGTAACAGTTTAACAATCATGTGTTTATCTTACAAAGCTATCATCCGCTGTTACGCATTTTAACGCGGTCTAAAGCAGCAGCAGCTACATTGAAATGAGTTACAGCTTTGTGTCTGTCATTGTTTCATAGGTATGTCAGAGGAGGCCATCATGGAGCTGAACCTGCCAACAGGCATCCCCATCGTGTATGAGCTGGACAAGAACCTGAAGCCTATTGGACCCATGCAGTTCCTGGGAGATGAGGAGACTGTAAAGAAAGCCATGGAAGCTGTAGCTGCTCAGGGCAAAGCCAAGAAATAGACTTGTCCTTCCTTTGGGAGTAAAGATCAATCATCTGCTTTTTTTTTCTTCTTTTTTTTCTTTCCCCATCCAGTTTTGAAAGGGTCATTTACTGTTTATGTCATCGCAGACTTGAGCACAGGTAGACACACAATGTGCATTTTATCTTAATACCACCCATTTTTCACAAAAATGTACAATCTGATGTTTAATTTGACTGCTCTTTACTTTGTTACATACTGAAACACACATTTCATTATTAGACTGTGGATATAAGTTGTAATGTGGTTTAAGCACTGACCAAATATAAATTAGGGACCAGCAAACGCACTACCCCAGCAGAGTTCAAAGTATTCTTTCCAATTTACAATCCATGTAGATGAAGCACAGCGGAAAAACCTACAGTTACACTGGCTATGTTAAAGTGTGAGCAGACTTGCTCTAGACTGCTGAATATTGTTTGCTGTGGCATTGTGCTTAAAAATTAATAAATGTTGTGAGTCATTATGCAGTGTACTGTGTGTGATGTCATTTTTTTTTCCAGGACAACTGCACTTTTTTTTTATTTTTTATGGTAACTGAGAAATTTGTCTCAGTAAAAGGCAAATATTGAAATGCACTTTATCCAGTTCCCTCACTAAGTAAATGCAATTAGCAGAAATGAAAAGTTTGTTTTAATTGCCTTATGTGATAGTCCTTGTATTCACACTTTTCTGTCACAGTAACTGCTACTTCAGCAGCTGTTCTGTTGGTTAAACACATTTGTATTTCTTGTATGCATCCATAGATCAACACGTTTCACACGAGACTCTGATAACGAGTTTTGTAAACTGCAACCAATCGAAAATGTGAGAGATTGTTTTAGTTTGTGGGATTGGGGGAGCAAGTTTTTTTTTCTCGAAGGTTTGAGATGCACCGTAACAGAGGACTATCATAAACATGATTATTTTGAAGAAATGGCTCCTTGGTGGCAATTTTCCGATTATATGATGTTTTTAAAACCATGCTCAGATAAAGAGATTTTCAATAAAAGAAGCTACAATAAAATTTACATTGTAGGAAAGTAATAAACCTAGTACATCCCAATACTGTAAGTAGCTAACTTTCATAATAGAGGTGGGTAGATTGATACCAATATCGATCGTATCAATAAGAATGCTGGTACTGGTGTCAGATACTTTAGCATCAGATTGCTACCAAAATCTGCAGTATCTCACTGACGTATTTCATAATTATCTGACCATATACAGTATAACTTATTCAATCATGTACCCGCCCATGTGTGGCTCAACAATCATGGCGGATCAACGCATTTTGTTCCGCTGACGCTAGTGACTCTGACCAATCAGAATCTTCCCAAGCCCTTCGTCCTAACCAATAGGCTGCCTACGTACACCTCTCGAAAACATGTCGCCGATGAAGCTGTGCGTTCCCGGTAAGTCCCGTAATTTTGTCTCTAAAAGGGCTTAAAAACTAAATATACCGGTGTGCAGATTGTATTTTGGGATATGTAAACAGATTTAACAGCTTTAGCGTCATTTTCTATTAGAAAAGGAAGTTAAACGGCATTCCGAGCGTGTGAAACCCTGGTGATTATTTCCAGCTGCCATGCGTGGAGTAGGCTTTGGCTTCCCGTACTTGTAACGCTGTAGTAACTTATTTTATAATCAATCACCTGTTGGATCAGCTGACTGTCAGATGGAGTCGGGGTTTTCAGCTCTACCGTATCATGGTCTTTTACCGTATTTGCAGGGCTGTGAGTTATTGACTTTGGCTTTCCATTGCTGATGAGATCCGATCCGCAGCCCTGCCCATCTCCTCGGGCAAAATAACGCATTCCTAAGCTTTGTTTTGTCACACCCGTGGGAAAGCCGCATGTCTATCCGGCGCATGGCAGTAGTGAACCTTAAATGAGTTGTCAGCAGGAGTAGCATTTAATTTCATTCTAATTACGGTTGAAAAAGCGCAAAGTAGCAAGATAATTAATTGTAGTGCAAGAAAAATGAGGGGTAGTAATGTGTCACATGACATAAATTATGTTTTGTGTTTTAATCTTATTGTCCATGATGTGTTTTGTGCTTAAGGGTTGCAGATACATTGCTAGTCCCACAATGCTGTTACATCAAAGCATCCTCAGTTAGTCTCTCAGTTTCAGTTAGCAGATAACCAAAATAAGGGAAACTATTATTATTGTTATTATTCTTTAGTTATATATTATATAGTCTATGTTGACCATTGTAACAACATATTCTGTTACAATGCTGGATGCTTATATTAAACATGGACAAAGTTTTAAATAATGATATGTACAGATCATCCCTGTAAGCCAGTAGCTCATTTTCAGTTTTCTGGATCTTTGTTTTGTCCTCAAGAGAGGGAGGATGTTCAATCTGTCTGATAAAGATGGTTGATGGAGATGTGAAAAGGCTGGGTTCAGATATGGAGCCAAGCATAAGATAAAGATTATTTTTGGTGATGACTCATGCAACAATGTTTTTATTTTAATTCATTTTTTAGAAGGAACAGTGCATCTCCAGAACCCAAACACTAACACAACATCTGTCTGTTTGTTTGTACTTAGGTGACAAACTATGCAGCGCGGAAGACTGTATTCCTGGCACAGGAGTATACCTGCGACATGGCTACATATACTCGTCACTAGCAGGCTATGTGCTCAGGAAGAATGAGGGAGAGGAGGTAAGGGGTGTGGGTAAGACAGGGGAGGGGAAAGTTTGTTCAGCAGTGAGACAAGTACAAATGCCAGACTAAAGGTATTTTTGCAATGTCTGTTGACGTGAGTGAGCTGAACTAGTTTTGTTAATGTCTTAAGTGATTTGTACATCATATGGATAACTTCTACTGGGATTATTTTGTCTCCTTAGTTACCAGTGATTTCAGTCGTGAGGGAAACAGAAACACAACTGCTGCCAGATGTAGGCGCAATAGTCACCTGTAAGGTATGCAATAGAATAAGAAACTGTTACTATTGCTGGATGTTCTGAGTAAATATTCGTGCACAGTTTACAATCTGTTTTATTTATTTTTCATTTAACAGGTAACCAGCATCAATCCCAGATTTGCCAAAGTCCACATCCTTTATGTAGGTTCCACACCGCTGAAGGACCGCTTTAGAGGCACTATCAGGTAACCACAAAAACTGAGCCAGTTTTTGTCTAATATTATACTGGAGACTGTTCAGTACAATTCAGATTTATTTATACAGAGTCAAATCACAATAACAGTTGCCTCAAGGTACTTTATATTGTAAGGTAAAGACCCTACAATAACACAAAGAAAACAGAGAAAACCCAACAATCATATGATTCCCTATGAGCAAGCACGTTGGCGATAGTGGGAAAGAAAAACTCTCCTTTAACAGGAAGAAACCTCCAGCAAAACTAGGCTCAGGAAGGGTGGCCAATAGGATAAGATGGGGACTGATTATTCCAGACCTTGTATGTGAGGAGCAGGATTTTGAATTCAATTCTGGATTTAACAAGGAGCCAATGAAGAGAAGCCAATATACGCGAAATAAGATCTCTTTCTAGTCCATGCCAGTACTCTTGCTGCAGCGTTTTGTATTAACTGAAGGCTTTTCAGTAAGTTTTTAGGAAATCCTGATAATCATGAATTATAGTCGTCCAGCCTAGAAGTAATAAATGCATGAACTAGTTTTTCAGCATCAGTCTGAGACAGGATCTTTCTCATTTTGGAAATGGAAGAAAGACATCTTACATTTTTGTTTAATATGTTCATTGAAGGACATATCCTGGTCAAAAATGACGTCTTTAAGACATTCTCATAGTTTAACAAATTGGTGTGTGCTATCTGGCTTAATAGATAAATGAATGAATAGATAAAGTCTAGTGTCATCTGTATAACAGCGGAAATGTATGCTATGTCTTCTAATGATACTGCCAACGGGAAGCTTGTATAATGTGAACAGAATTCTAGAATGGAACCCTGTGGAACTCCATAGTTCTTCTTCCTATCTGAAGAGGACTCTCATTTACATGAACAAATTGCAGTCTTTTAGATACGATTCAAACTGCGGCAGTGCAGGACCTTTAATACCTACAGCATGCTCTAACTGCTGTAAAAAATGTTATGGTCACAGAGATGTGTCCACTGTCAGAGGCCATAAGAAGCTCAATTGTAAGCTTCACTAAAGCTGATTCTGTAAAGAAACTGTTAGAAATACCAGGTAGGTAAGAATGAAGAAGCCTTTTTAAAGTTGCTGCTATCCTATGATTGGACTTAAACATACATAAAAATAGTCATTACTGCCTCCAGATTTTAAGATGAATTCAAAAACACATTTTTTTCTACGTTTTTTTTTTTTCAAAATAAAAATTCATCTCATTGTAATTCTCACCAGTACTTGCCCAGCTAGTCTTATTCAAATTCAAACCGATGAGTTGATTTAAAAACAACGAAATAAACTCATTAAAGTCTCTACTTAAACTCCAATATATGTATGCCAAACTTTCAGACTGCTAATCATGTGAGATGGGCCTGAGGCGGCCAAAAGCAGGACCTGTTTTAACCCTCTCAGGCTCAAATTAAACTTTTTGTTGCTAATGCACAACCAAGTCCTGCAGTGGTACTTCTGAGTAAAAAAAACTCATAAAATATGTATGTGGGGTAATCAGGTTGGTAGTTTTTAACTGTTGCAAATCGGCAACGCCTGCCTCGAGAGGGTTAAGGAGGTGGTTGTAGAAAATGCTCATACCCGCTACCGTACAGATCTAACTCCAGCGTGAGGCAGGGTTTTATGGACATAATATTCTGGCCTAAAAACAAACTCACTCTGTTTCTCTACAGAAAAGAAGATGTGCGTGCAACAGAGAAGGACAAGGTCTGTTTGAATTCCTGTTTTCCACTCACATCTTTCATTAGTTTCTTCTGCATATAATAATTTTTATTAAAATAAGGTGACATGTTTATTTGTAACCGTTTTTCTTCCTTGTTACAGGTAGAGACATACAAAAGCTTCAGACCCGGTGACATCGTCTTGGCAAAAGTTGTATCCTTCACATTATTATGCCGTCACTGGTGGTTTTGAACCAGCGCATGCTTGTCATTTCTTTTTCTTTTTTTCAACATTTACATAATTGTGGACTCTGAATTCATTCCCCAGGCTGAGACTGTCAACAACAAGTTTTCCTTTTTTCATTTCAAAATGTGCTTGAGGGAGAATATTTGTCACAGTCAAAATAACCCCTGTGCCAAAAATGTTAATAAGAGTGAACGATGAATGACTGGAAAGTATGCAGGTCATATGTAACTTTTATTTCTTCCTGGAAACATATCAGGTCACCAAGACACGGCTTAAAAAACAAAAACAAAACGTGATGTGTAACATGTAAACGTTTCATCATCTGCCTTTACAAATTCACCTTTCCATTTCTGGAATAAGAATTTTTTTAAAATCCTGATTTGTATCCATTGATAAACCTTGACGTGACTGTGTCAGATTTCTCTTGGTGATGTTCAGTCTAACTACCTGTTGACAA